AGGGTTTAGGGTCTAGGGTTTGAGGAGTTCAGGATCCTGGTTTATGCGGGAGTGGTGCGAGTTCTGTAGGAGTTTCGGTTTAGAGTAGGGTGTGACATAAAAGGATATAAGATTTCGGTTTTGGTGAAGAAGGTCTGGATTTCGCGCTCCAGGTGTGGCAGAGTAGAGTGCGAAGGAGAGATCGGGTTTCGTGAGTTTTGCTAGGTGCATTTATTCCCTAAACCCTAAACCCCTAAACCCTAAACCCTAACCCCTAAACCCTAAACCCTAAACCTATGGGGGTGTTGCGGTTTGAGGCCTAAGGCCTAAGGGTTTCGGGCCAGGACTTCCATCAACTCTGAAGCCCAGAGCCCAGCCTGAACATACGAGGTTTCAGGTTTAGGGGTTTAGGGTTTGGGGTTTAGGGGTTTAGGGGTTTGGGGTTTAGGGTTTAGGGGAGGACATGACCTTTGCCCGGCTTGGGCCCAATCTCATCGCCTTCAACACAGCGCTGAGTGCCTGCGCCAAGGGATCGCAATGGATGCCGCGCGGCGTGCTTACTCCAGAAACTCAAACCTTAAACCCTATACGCTAAACAGCCGAAAACCTAAAGCCCTGGACCGCACGCCTCCACAAACTAAAGGCCCCTCAAACCCAAGTCTTTAACAAGAAGCCTAACCCCTGCGTTCTGAATCCGACCGCGGTTATAGATATCTGAACCATCAGTCAGAGTCATAGTATTCCTGTGGTCTTTGTACAGTTTAGGGTTTACTGTTTCGGATTCCTTTGTAGTCTTCATAAGCATGCTAAGATGCCCCTATTCGATCCTTATATGACCCTTTCTGGAAACCTTACACATAGACAAAGACCTATTCCAAAGATCAACACCTCTATAATGAACAGTATATACCATGAACTCATCTCGCAACAGGGCCCTATATCTTAGTTTAAGCGTTTAAGGATTGGGGGTTCGCGATGTTACGGGTACGGATGTACGATGTTAGCGATAGCGGTTTACCAAATTATATAAGAAGTCGCTGCAGACGATCCGAGCAGGATCTCTGCAACAGACTGCCGGGAAACTGAATGTCTTGGGCTTACGACTGTAGGGTTGGGGGGTTCACGATTTTGGAGTTTGTCCCTTAATTAAACAGACCCCGAAAGCCCGTTAGGGTCCCTTTTTAGGGTCTTTTTTTAAGGGTGCCGTACTATATTGGACCCAAACAGGGACCCTAATCAATATTCTTAATCCAAGGGTCAGCGAATCCGAGGCGGGCGCTGTTGTTCTTCGAAGGCCTCTGGGCAGCCGTCGTGAAGCTGGAGTCTTGACGATGTTCTTTCTCAACAGAAACAAAGTGGTTAATATAGGGGCCTCAATAATTAGAACAGGGTTTGTGGGGTATATTATTCTGGATGAATAGTAAGGAAGCTCTTAATGTTGTTAAAGCCCCTACACGACTGTCGTTCTGCAGTTTTGCGAAGTGTTACTTCGCGTTTTGGGCTTGAGTTTTAGTCGTTTTCGGGCCATGGCTTGGGTCTATGAGTCTCGGGCTGTGGAAACTCAAGAACACACAGAGGTCCGAACCCGGAAAGGCAACAACAAAATCTCTTGGCTCGACTTCCACCTTTGCTGATAAGGCTCCAGGTTGACCCTGGCCCTGTGCTTAAAGAGGTCAAAAGTGATGTTTGTTAGTTGCTTGGGCTTGGAGTGCAGGGTTGAATAGTTTCCCAAATGGGTGTCTGGGAGTTCGTTCTTGGGTGTGCTTAATTTGTAGCCGTTATCGGTTTAAAGTTTTTGTGAGATCGTCAAAAGGACCTTTGTAAGCCAAGAGGCTTCAGGTCTTAAGGGCTTGATGTTCTCGAGCTTGACGAAGGCATGTCAGACCATAAACCCTAAATCCCCAAACCGTAGATCCCAATGCCATAAACCCTAACCCTTAGGGTTTAGGGTCTAGGGTTTAGGGGCTGATCAGACGACAGGAAGAAACCCCACCCCGATCTCAGGATGTCATCAGCTACGGCACTGCCATCACTGCCTGCGAGGCTTCGACGTCAACTGCGGGGGGGCGGGGGGTGGGGCGGGGATGGTGTCCTCTTGCCTTTCTCGCAGGAGTCCTTGGAGTGAGGATCTTTGGGCCCTTTGGTGTTCATAGGGTTATGTGTTGTAGTCTTTACCCAGAGAACCCAATACCCCTTAATTAAGGAATATGCCTTCAATTATAGGGGCCTTAATATTATGTTTTAACGTATATTCCTTAATTAAGGGGTAGTGGGTTCTCTGCGTACTTCGGGCATAGAGGCCAAGATCCCACTACCTAGGAAGTCGAAGTTCGGCCTCGGGGTTCCTTTTTTCTATCGACGGAAACCTCCAGATCCCACCTCAGCCTACTTCTCTTCGTTGTAGCTGCAATCTGTCAAACGTGCAGGTCAGAAATTTTGTAATTTCTCCCCTAAACCCTAATCCCTAAACCCTTGCAACGCTCAGGCAGTCATCCAAAAGGCCCTTTAAAAAGAAGAACTCTGCAAATTTGTCATTTCTCCCCTAAACCCTAAACCCTAAACTCTGCAAGGGGTTAAGAGACTTGCGAGATCCCTCCCCCAGTGCGCGGCTGGTGCGCACTGCCAAGGCGCCTTCCGTCTTGCCATGTCTTCTAACGCAATTAGGAGTTTTGGGTGTAAGGGTTTAGGGGTTTTGGGGTTTAACGCTTAGGGCTCATACTTTCAGAGTCCGCAAAAGACACACTTCCAGAATCCTCAAGCGGCAGCTACGGGCTCGGTGCTGTGCGATCAAGGGGCTGCCAACAACAACAGAACACTAAAACTCCAGTGCTTGTAGGGGTCGAGGGGACTCGGGTTTATATGGGTGGCTCTCTAAAATAGGGTTCCTTTTTAGGTCCCCAATATAGTATGGCACCCTTATAATAAGGACTCCAATTTTAGAAAACTACCCATCTAGAGTTTAAGGTATAGCGCTGTTGGTTTAGGGCTTTTGTGTAGGTCTCCGGACTGAAGCTAAATAACCCTAAACCTAAACCCCTAAACCCATCCCAGAGACCCGGGAATACCGCGAGGAAGCGTCGAATTGGTCCCTGGCGATGTCGTTCCTGGAGCAGATGGAGTCGCCACCGGCTGGCACTTAAGTAGTACGGTTTAGGGTTTAGGGTTTAGGAGTTTAGGGTTTAGGTTTTAGGGTTTTTAGGGTTTTTAGGGTTTAGGGACCCCTTTTCGTAAACCTTAACAGATTGGGTTGTTGTTTTTGTGTGGTTTTAGGGGGCTTAGGGCCTCGGGGTTTCGACGTTCGGGTTTCAGGAAGCACCAACGGCTGGCTCAAGTGAGTCCAAAAAGCGAGGCAACAAACTGCCCCTCGACATTAGGCAGATTGGAGCACTCAGACTTCTGAGAGGTACGGTTGATGATTTAAATCCTGCATTCCCCATAATAAGGAATATACCACAATTTCCATAGTTTAGGGTCCTTAAGGTAATGCAGGCTTTATATCATCAACAGTATTGCTCGCGCAACTGCGTTTTGTCTTATGGCACGTGCCAGACACCCTCGACCTTGACGCCCGAAACTCTAAACCCTAAACCCTCAACCCTCAACCCCTAAACCCTCAACCCTCA